TCCCTTCCGACCCTACAAACTATGAAACATGGCCTTCATATACATGAAGTGGGAAGGGAGAAAGCATTGAGAGCACGACGGATATCAACAAGTCTGGTTTACTGCTTATACCTGTTGGTCTATGAGGCTGATATCTCTTAATCCAGCAAGAAGCTACTTACTTGGTTGGACGATAATCTGGGATGGAACGATCCAGTGAAATTTTCTCACTGAGGTAGGAATTATAGCCGTATTTCTCATGGGGTCCCTTTGCTTTCTCCTCCTCCTCAGGGGAAAGGGTGGCAGGAAGCCCACCTTTACCACGCCCACCATAACCTTCAATGAGGCCAAGTGACTTAGACAAACCTGAGGAAAGACGAACCAGAAATCAGTGTTAGACGAACAAATTCATTGCAGATTCATCAAAAACATAATATCAACAACTAAACATAAATTTTCCTGGGAACTTGGGTTTTTTTGCAAGATTTTGAAATTCTGACTTTTCGGCCCATTGTGGGATAAAAACTTTTTCAAATTTTGACATTTTCTCCCAGGCCAGCTCTCCCATCAGTAGCCAACCGATAATCCATCCCAGGGATCTGCGCATCTATTCATTTCTTAGGGAGGTTATGATTATTTATGCCTACTTCCCTTTCTCAGTGAGGTAATTACATGTAAGGTTAGATGTCCCCAGGAGGAGAATAGAATGAACAAGGAATAAGAATAGAAAAAGGTTGGGGAACTGCCAACTGAATGAATTTTTGCTTAGTATGAACGCTGCACAGCATACAAATGCTGTGGATTTAAAAACAATTTCCCCTTCTAGGTTTCTTATCTTTTAAAGTCTAACATACTTAAACCTTTATCAAATGGAATTATTTATTTATATCTACCTAGCTCTACAAAATATGGCTCACGAATGAACTGTTGAAAATAGTTCTAGTAATTATAATGGTGGTGGCTGTCGGAAGTCAAGGTAAGACCTAATACTTTTCACTGGTGGAGATTCACGTTTCTTTCTGATGACTGATTAAAACAAAAACCTTAGGTAGTTTCCTCTTCATTTTTGTGGCAGAGAACTCTAGAAAATTGGGTAGATAGCTAATAAAATATCTAAATGTTATAAAGATCATGAGAGAATGACAAAAGGCAGTTGATGGCACAATCTTCCCCCTTAGAGATCATGCTAATTATAGAGTTACCATATATCCAGGTTTTCCCAGATATGTCCTCTTTTTGGGTCCTCCCATCTCCATCCAGGAGGTTTGTTTAAATATAAATAAAAGTCCGGGATTTGGGATTTTGCTCTGCTCAGCATCAAAGTATTCCCTGGCACTGCGCTGCAGCAGGGCAGAGGAGGTGCCTGCCTCCAGCAGGGAGCTGCATGGCAGGGCTGCATCGGTGCCTGTGCCCACAGGGGCAGGGCAGATGGGAGATGATTGCAGGGCTAGGGGGAGCAGGGGACTGCAGGGCGGGAGTGAGGGGCACTGGCAAGGGTGGAGGGTGGGGGAATAGGGGCTGACTGTCAGGAGTGAGGGGCACCGGAAGGGCTGGGGGGGCTGTAGTTTGGGAGTGGGGGGCACCGGGGGGGGGGGGGAACTGTGGGTTGGGAGCACAGGGGACAGGCACTGCCAGGGGGCTGCGGGTTGGGAGCGAGGGGCATCAGCATGGTCTGGGGGGCAGGGCACGGGCACATCACTGCCTCCCCCCACAATTATATTACCTCCCCCTCCCCCCACCGCATCGTGTGCCCTCTTTTTTGAAACTGGAAATATGGTAATCCTTAAATTCACAGCCCAAATAGCCACAGACTCAAGTTGCAACTTAATTCCAGACAGAGCGGAGTTCACCAGAGAAAAGCAATTCTATTTGTGGCAACTTCTAAGATTTAAATTGGAATTGGTTCATGTTGGAACCAACCCAAAATCTTTCACATGTTCTTTCAAAAGCAAAATTCTGCCAAAACGCCAGTCTTTGAATTGAAATCTGATCTCTTCGTTTCAGGAAAGGAAGATATATGGCACAGTGGGGTCAGAGTGGAGGAAAAGCAAGTTGTAAGGATGAAAATCACTGCTTCATGTTCTAGTGAGAGAAAATAACTTCAGAATTGTAGCAAAACCAGTATGCTTTAACAAACAGCATCTTTCAGTGAAATTTAACTCATCCTTACCAACCAGCTTTCATGATTTTGTCATGAAGCTCTTGTTATCATGTTAAAACAGAAGGCAAGCCAAAGAGCTCATTATTAAAAATCAGGATTTTGGGGGCCTGAGTCATATCTGATTAAGATTTTGATAAAAAAATCTTATTTTGGGGGCCTGAGTCATATCTGAATGCCTTGCATGAGTAATTGCACCCAGAGTCACACAAGCTGTATTATTAGGATATGCTGGACCACGTTCTGATCTCAGTTGCACCTGGGCAAGGAGAATAGCTTCCCTGATTCATAGGTGTACTCTAGATTTATACCATCCTAAGACAAAGATGAATTTGGCTCCATTATTTTAATTCATTTTCCTTCACTCTGTTCATGAAATGTCTCTACCAAGAACTATCAGTTATGAGTGTGGAATTACTCTACCTTCTAACAGTGCTATTTCTTGCCTGGAAAGAAATAGCAGAGAGCTATGAAATACTCCCAGAATGTCTAGCATGCTCTTACTTTTATTACAGGCGCCTTAGCTCCTGACAGTTCACTTTTAAAACTCAGAACCCGTAAGTTTGCTTATTTATATTTATTTTACAAATTTCTTCATCCTTACTGCTTTTACCATTGCTGCTTTAAAAGAACATATAGACATAAGAAGGGCTTAGAAATAAGCTGTTTTTTGGTTGTAGCCGTGTTGGTCTAAGGACACAGGCAGGCAAGCTTCTTTGAGCAGATGTGATCTCTTTTATTAGACCAACTGACTAGTTGGAAAAAAATGGTCTTGGCTTTTTCCAACTACTCAGTTGGTCTAATAAAAGATAATCACATCTGCTCAAAGAAGCTTGCCTGCCTAATAGAAATATGAGCTTTCTGTTCAAAGATGCTATGCTGAGGATCAGTTCTTACTGTCTGGTGCAGTTGGATAATACTGACATGTTGGATAATGACATGTTGACAGGAATTAAAGCATTGTCTATGTTAGGGTTTCTTGGCAACCCTTTCCCATTGTAGTCGCTGGTGCCAGGGTATCATATTAGTTGCAGGTCTATGACACAGTGTTAAAAATACTGGTGACCCTGGGAGCTGTCCACATTAGCAGTCCCACTGCAACTGGCACAGACATCTCTCCTGGCTTTAACAGTGGTGGCACTTCATTGCTAAAGAAACCAATTGTAGATAAGGTTTAAAGTCTTGCCAACATGTAGCTTCTCAGTCAACTATGGTAGATTCTCCCCCCAAAATGGTTAAGACATAACCTTCAATTCAGCATCTTTGAATAAAATGCTCACACTGTCATGAACTCCTTTATTCCTCGCAGACAAATGCACCCGGGGCACATTCACATCCACCAGCTAAAACTATTCTCTACTGCTTATTTTTGCATATGAATATTTCTGCATTACTTCTTCTTGAGCACATGCTGTGACAATATATGGAGGTATACCTATGTCAAGCCATTCAATCAGTGAAAGAAATTAGTTAAACAATGCAATCATTTCACCCACAATGGGTAAAAGATCTGCAGCAAGCAAAAGACCTCTTTTTCAATGTTGTCCTATCAGAATATCAAAGGCACCCAGAGGTGTAGTCACAAAAATGAAAATTCCTGCATGTGATGTAACCATTTGGATCAATGTATTTTGCTCTGTGTAGGTCGCACATTTCTTCGTCTAGTTTAGGCTGTCAGAAAAGTTCATCATGCAACCAAAGTGTCATTTTGTTTTAGGGCGTGTGAAACTAAGGAATAAGAAATGTTTGGCAGGGAAAAGTATTCACAGCCAAACTTCAATTGAAGGGGAAAAAAGAGCAAAGTTTGTTTCCAATTGGCTTAGAAGATGCCTCAGAAAAGAGGGCTGAAAAGAATAGTTGGATGTGGAATCTGATCCAGCAAAAACCTTAATTACACACTTTTTATTTTACTTATTTAGATGTACAGAACTGTTAAAAAGAACTCCTCTCCATATTCACTCAGAACCCTTGAAAATATAGCCGTACAGTTCCTTTTTTGCAAGTGATAAACACCCCTAAATCACATGACAAGACCTGATTTTAGGAGATTTTTTTTGGTCGATTTTGCAAACTCAGGAGAGTCACATAGCTTGTGTAAGAACCAGATACCAGATGCTGATGTGGACAAGACTTCTTACCATTTATGTGTGCAGCCCATCATTAACCTCCACTTATCCAAAGTGTCTCAAAATCTCCTAGAAGGCTAAAGGTTGGGATAAAACGAGTGTACAGCTCTGACATTGCAGTAATAAAAAAAATGCCTCTGCCTACAT